TTCATCTGAGTGTGTATCCATACATTCATTTTGTGCTCAAAGTGCACCAGATTGATGCATTTAACTTCAACATTTAAAAAAAAATCTTCCCGGGGGTGCATGCCCCCGGATCCCCCTAGAGGATGTGAGGTCCACCCCCAAATAAAGCAGGTTAAAATAATTAAATTGCATACATTTTATTTTGATTGTTTGTTATGTGTATGTGTAGTATTTGTGCTGTATGTTCAATAAAGGTGATTTAGCAAAATACATCTTTAAATTTCACAAATTTCTTGTGCTGGCAGACACATAGGAACATATTGGCGGGGCGCACTTCGCACGCACACAAAGAAATTCGACTCGCTCTGCGCTCACATTTCGCTGGGCCCACGTGCCTTAGCACCGCTGCTATGACTCCATCCTAGGGGAAACACTGACTGATAAACAGCACACAATGCAGACGGTCCTGACGACCACAAACAAAACACAAGCTGGTCTATTTCCTGTGTTTAAGGTTCAACAGGAATTGTGTGTTTAGTCTATTAGTCTGAGACGTGACTACTGACTCACATCAAATCTAGTGTGGTTTCACACACCATAACAAAGAGGGCAAACAAGTGCAGTAATTACAACTGAAAAATCCACAAAAATAACCAGCAGGGTGAAACAACACTTGAATATGTGTGTTATCAACGAGACATTCAAGTTTTGGCAGACACATATTTTAAATGCTCCCATAATGGGAAAAATTACTTTTAAATCTAAGCACAAATATGTTGGCAAAACTATTTCTTTGGATTAGTGGCTTTCAATGAGCTTTGTGGGTACATGACCAACACAAGCACAACAGTTAGAGCTCGCATTACAGAGCTGTTGTTAACATTGGATCGTATAGATGCCCATTGACTTGATTTATTTTTTAAATGTCGAAAATGTAAATGTTTTTAGTTCAAATATTTGAATGTCCTATATAGCCCAACCCAGAAACCCAGAAATGAAAACCCAAATATGTCTTTTAATATTAAACAAGACCAATTATTGATAACGATATTCATATTTGAGAAACTGTTACCTGGCATTTTTGCATAAAAATACTTATTTTGACCAACGTATCCATTAATCAATTCAGCTCTTTGTTCAACCCAAAGTTTTTAAGTAAAATTATAAAAACTTTTTTAAATGCAGTCACACTGTGTTTTTGCTTTTACTTCTTTATTATGAACATCAATAAGAAGAAAAGCGCAACTATTACAATATACAATGGAAAGACCATCTAAAATGTTTATTTGTATTAACCTGTAGTGATCTTTTTAAAGTCACTGAGGCCTAAATGGAGGCTAACGCAGGCGGCTGCTTGAGGGTACATCATGTGACAGTCTGTTGACAGAGTGTGATGTGCCTCCAGTCAATTCATGGTTCAATGGTGTGTGTGTGTGTGTGTGTGTGTGTGTGTGTGTGTGTGTGTGTGTGTGTGTGTGTGTGTGTGTGTGTGTGTGTGTGTGTGTGTGTGTGTTTTCTAAATGAAGCCTGATGTCCAGAGCACTTCTCTCAGTATTATGCTATCTATAATATCAGTAATTGTAAAAAATCTCAGTATACTTGATAACATGTGCCTTTATTTCGATCAAATCTACCAATACACAGAAACTTGCGTTTTCTTACAAATGTACTCATATTCTACCAGTTTTTTGTTACTTCCTGCTGAAAGCCAGTGTATCATTAAAGTTTAATTTCTAAAAAGGTCACCTCATAGTCCCGTGAAAGGTCATAATGAATAACAAGAATGTCACACACACACACACACACACACACACACACACACACACACACACACACACACACACACACACACACACACACACACACACACNTTAGAGATAGGATATTTGAATTTTCTTAAGCTGTATGCCATAATCAGCAATATTAAAATAATAAAAGGCTTGCAATATTTCAGTTGATTTGTAATGAATCCAGAATGTATGACATTTTTGTTTTTTTAATTGCATTACAGAAAATAAAGAACTTTATCACAATATTCTAATTTTCTGAGACAGTCCTGTATGTTTAACATTTTCTCTCGTTTCTACGCTTTTCACTGGCAACTGCATTTCAATGTCAACAGCCTGATGCTGCCGGCTTTGGGCTACACTGCGGTTAAAGTAATACAATTAAAACTCTGCATCGGGCCGTTCTCTTAAAACACAGAAACACGGATTAGCCGTAAACCACATTTGTCCCTGAGCTATGACAATGAGACAAAAGACCAACTAAACAAGGAAGAAGAGAGGATGATGAGAAAGGTTGAGATAATCAGCAAAGATATGAACAACATGAGGAGGATCAGATACTAGAGCTGATATCTAAATGACTTTTGAGAATAGCTGCAAAGCATCACATTAACCTGAATAATTGTGATATTTTTGTAGATGTTTTTTAAGGTGCTATTGTAGGGAGCACCCTCAGGGGAAAAGATGCTTCTCTAACCGAGATGGTGGTAGAAATTTGAAAACAAAAGAGGGTGATTGTGTCTAAAAAACAACATTAAATAAAAAAAGACTGAATTGTATTGTGTCTGAGGAACCAAAGAAGATCATGTCAGAATGTCAGAATTGGTCTTAACCGAAATGAGTGTGCACAAATGTCATGTCCATTTAAGATGACATGAGAGAAGTGAAAATGGCAACAATTAGATCGCCATGAGAACATTTTTTGCCTCAAAGCTTTCGCTGGTTTCCTCTCTGTGGTTTTCTGTTTACACGGTGGAAGGAGTTAATATATGGACAGATTTTGTGTCTCCTTTTCCCCAATTGGCAATTTTTCATAAATCACTCTTAAAAAAAAAAGTGTATTTAAAAAATCTCATTTGCAATGCTGACCTGGCCAAGAAGGCAGCAACGTTACACATAACACAAACATATAAAATACAGAGAACATAAGAAAACAAAAGACGAAAAAGCAGTCCCTACATTGTGCACATTAGGACAGTAAGTAAGGTAATAAGCACTACTTATTAGTGCAAGAGCAGCTGGTGGTAAGGACTTCAGACAACTTCAATTTAAAAAAGGCTATAGAGACAAGTGCCGTCAGTTTGAGGCGTGATTGAAGGTCATTCCAAGACCAAGGACCATAATAAAAGAGACTCCTTTTCCCAGCCTCAGTCCGCACAGCAGGAACCTGGAACCGTATCCAGGCACTGGATCTGAGGTTGTAAAAGTCACAAACTGGAGCAAATCTGGCACATATGTAGAGTGGAAGCTTTCCTAAAATGGCTTTATACATTAATAAAAACCAATGCTGCATCCTACGCATACTAGGTGAGGACCATCCAGTTAGGCTATACAGTGTGCAATGATGAGTCCTATAGGGTGCATTTGATATATAACGCAACGTTTGATGTTAGCGAGGCTGTTGAACAATGATAAACAATGGCTCAGTTTATTGAAATCATTTCTGTAATGTTTATACTTGTCTTCCAGGTGCTGACGTCTCCCAATGCCTCCTTCACTGACCTGGCAGAAATCGTGTCCCGCATCGAGCCCGTCAAACCTGTCCTGGTGGACGGTAAAACACTGACACACTTCCCCTCTTCAGACACACCCTCCATCGTACTTTAGTTACACATGAGTACAGAGAAACATGCTGATATTGGTCTTTCCCATGCTCGCTGTTATTTGTTTATAGATTATTTTTCCTGTCTGTTTCGCATCAAGGAGCAAATCAATTTCTGAATGTCCATTGCAGAATACATTTGAGCAGTTACATGTTCAAATGTATGCAACCATATTGTACAGGCTGTCAGCAGGGTCTTAGAAAGTGTTAAAGGTTCCATTTAGGGACTATTACGGACCTTTTAATATTATTAAAAACTCTTAATAGGCATTTTTGAATTTATCGCATTTTGTAAAAAAAGTAGTCATAATCAGCAGATGATTCAAATATAATGCATACGTTTTATTTCCCAAACAAGGGCCCCACAAAATGTTTTGATGCTGAACTTTTAAAAAAAAAAACCACGTTAGTTAAAGTGTGTAACTCATGTGTTAGAAGTGGAAGTTGCGATGAGGTCTTAAAGCGTCCTTTAGTTCCACATCATTCAGCTACCAGTGGTGTTTTTCCTTGATATTTCCGTCCCTCTCACTCTTTCTATTTTTAACGTGTTTGTCATCCGTCGCTCGTCACACTTTTACATTTTTGATATTCTGACTCACTCACCTGCTCCCCCACTTCCATTTGTCACCTGTCTTACACACCACATATTCTGACTTCTTCACCCACAATGCTCTGCTTCCTGTCTCCCTCCCCTCCCTCAGAGGAGTCAGACTTCCAAACTGACTACGACGAGGAGGCTCTGGAGAGCGCTCTGTCTGACATGGAGCTCTATAACTGCTACGGAGAGCCCACTGAGGGGGAGGAGACTGCTGACACGGCGTGAACACACTATGGCCATTCTTTTCTTTAAAGAAGCCAATGCATTTGAGTCATGTCTAAAACAATGGTAAACCATAGACTTCTGCAGTGTGCTTCTATCAATGTTTTTCTCTCTCTTCACAACATACTTTTTGAGCACCATAACTTCATGTTTAATCTAGACTTTGAGAAAGTCAAATGTGTCCTGTTGGCTTTGGTACAGAAAGAGATTCAAGTTCACTGGAGCCAGGCCAATTCATTTTTTGCTATAAAACATTTCCTGAAAGTAGGTGGAAGACACTAGAGAGCCACCTCATTAAAGTAAATGATGTGTTTTTGTTGTAGTTAAGCTGTTGGGCGATGAATTTGAGACAAACCCCTTAAACCCTGGTCACCCTTAAAAAGTGTTTCCCAAAGCAGACAAATCAAATAAATGATTGCATATTCCAGTACATAAAAGATTTAGTTTAACTGGCTTTTGTCCGTCCAAGAAAGAAGTGTTACGTGTACCCTACTATAACAAAAGAGAAGGGGATTATTAACGCTGTAACGATAACGGCACATCACACAGATCGAATGTTGATGGTGGATCAACCCTTTATTGGGCGAGGAACCATATTTGACCAATCAGCAGAGGCCTGAAACGGGTTAGGGTTAGAGTGAACCTAATAGTGCCCTATAACGGGTTAAGGAGAGGATGCGTGAGTGGTTTCGAGGTCTTAGCCCAGGCCATAAAAGGCCATTTATTTTGGTTACTTAACACTTTAAAGTTTAGCTAGTTATTGAAAGACTAAGATGAACAGTTAGAATAAGATACACATTGAGATTATTAATTGTTTGACAAGACAAACTTCTCTTTATTCAATATCATTATTAATGTCATTCGAGCTCCTTGCTTCTTCACTGATACATGACCGTCCTTGTGATTCTCAGGATGAACAGCTGGATGAGAGACGTGCACGCCGCATCACCTCACCCTCCAGCAGCCAGGCCCCCCCCACCACGTCCCTGACAGTCCGTCACACCAGGAAGTCCTTCCCAAAGAGTCCATGAAGTGAACACTGCTGCAATGACCTCTAACTGAATCAGGTCACCCAAAATGTAACCTGTCTGTCTTTCCACCCCGCCACAAAACCTGTCCCCTACCCCTGTCGGCATGACGACGAGAACCATTGTGCCCTCTGTAGCCGAGCGTCGTTAAGTTTGGCTGACTTACGGACGCCCCCCCTTTTAAAAAAACGATTACAAGCAGCGAGTCTCGCAATTACTCAGCTGCAAATCCTATGCATTCCTTTTACACAAGAGCAGCTGCATGCAAATCATTTCTCATATTGAGAGTCAAGAGTACTTGCTGTAGCTTAACATGAATAACACCAGGAGAGGTGAGGAGATATTCATTAAGTGAGAACTATTACTTATGGCTGATTATGCTAGGAAGACAGATGTATGGTGTCAGTTAACCTATATTCCAAAATACCTTTGTTTCTCCCCTTCCCTGTTATCTAGACATGCAGATAGTTTTCTTATGAAGCAAATTCAACTTTTCCGAATAGAACAAATATTCTACAATTATAATAATAATGGCAATTTTTGACTGACCACAGGTAAAGTTCTCTTCACAGTAATGTGACTGAAGACATTCTTTTTTATTTTAAGTGGTCACAAAGACATTCTTGTAAATCAAAGCTCTGAATAATCAGCAATGTCAAGAGTTTTCATCAGGTTTAATTCCCTGAGTAGAACATAGATCAAGTGCACTCTGCTGACAGTGATGTTTGAGCATTTTTTATTTTCTGAATACATTTCTCTATAAAACACCTTATGTGTATTTTCTGGGGCAGAAATCTCAGAAACGTGGTCAAACAAGGGCAGAACTATCTACATGGCTAGATACCACTAGATAGACAAATGCGTTCAGGGGCCACTTTATGAGGTGTACCCGTAAATCTAACGTCAATACAACACACTAGCCATATATTCTACCTTTACCAATCCTATGAGGTTGTGCTTGACTGCATTATATTAAGGTGTTTATATTCGTTGGCCACATTAACCTACATTTAGGGTGGCAGAGTATTCAAAATACAACTAATTAGAATGCAGTTGTACTCTAACTATGATCTCAATGCTAAAACATGGTGGCTACACTGATCATGGGCAGCATATCAAGTAGGCTTCATGGCAGAACAGTTGTACTGCATTGTACATTTCTACCTGATAAAGTGGCATCCAAATATATAACTGTTCTAAGCTCACTTGCATTCTTTAACTTTTCTACATTCAGTCTTTGTGACGATCCACATCGACAACCGTCATTTAGAAAAGCAGAAAGAGATCAGAATAAGCCGCACACTGTGGCCATGGCTGTCAGCACAGCTTTGTCACACGCAGCGTACCAGGGACACGGAGGGAAGTAATGATTGCATTCCACTTCAAAGCACTACTAGATCAACCCCCCCCCCCACCCGCCCCCACCCGCTGTTTCTGGCTTGAGTCGTACACAGACTGAGCAGCACTGTGGATCTCTAGGGTGACGCTCCACTCGCCTCAGTACAGTTTGAGCTATTTGCAGCAGCAGATCAGTTATTCACAGGAACATGTTGTTACTTGGCTTGTGGACACAGGTTCTAACTTGTTTCCAGTGATTTGGATGTATTTGTGTCGTGACATTGTCATATGATTTTCTTTGCACACCTAATAAGTTAATTCCACAAAATGAAACCAATAATGTAGACAAACTAAACCCTAGATGGTTTTTCACACAATAACTGGACAATCACTCCAGAAATGCAATGCACAAATACACTAACAGATTGAGTTCAAATCTTGTTAAACAAACCTCTCTGTATGACATTTAACCAATTCTTTAAGAGCTAACTTTACACAAATTACATCTAACAAGTATTAGCAATTGATTTGTGTGATCTTTATTGGTTCAGTTAACAGATTTATATTTTTGTCTATACGAAAGAAATGGATATGAAAATGCCTTAGAGCCGAAGATGCCATCTCTGCATTTTATTTGTCGTCTCAACCGTCCAAAACCCAGAATACCTCAGTGTAGTATAAAGTATTAAAAACAATTCCTGTAGCTGAGAAACTGGAACCTTTTAAATGTTTGGCAGTCTTGTTATTTATGAACAATTCATAAGTTATCAAAGTAAGTAGTATTTCCGGTAATGATTAATCACCTTATTACATGAGCCATAACAAAAGTGCTTAACCATTTTGGTTCTGAAAGAATCATGAATATATACTTGTATATACTTTTTATTGACAAACATGTCATTATCTGGCCAACAAGTGTTGTTACAGTGACTGTAACACGTGTTGAACAAACACGTGTCACGTACTGTATCTGTAACATTCAATGCAGTTAGAATATCAATGCAACTTTTCCAGATATTATTTTCTGAATATAGCGTCCTGCGGCTAACTGGTGCTACAGTGCCTGCAGCCTGACAGCAGGAGAAACCTTGTGATAAACACTTTGGGATCCCATATGGTGTTGGAGAAATGGAGTCTGGACACATTAGAGAAAAAGCAGGGATGGGAAAATATTGTTTACCAAGGAGGTGATGGTTTTTTGCACTGGTGTGTGTTTTTATTTTTACTTTTGGGTGGTTTCCAAAAACCAAGCACAATGAATTGATGTTTTCTGGCAGAATGAATGTTTCTCTACTTTACTAAATGGGACATGGTAATGGATTAAGTTCTTGTGTACTGTGTGGAACTGTGCCATAAAGTTAATGTGACAAAGCCTCAGATGACCCTACAGAAACACAACCACTCGTGCCCTAATTTAGGATTAGTGTACAATGATGAATGTTTACCTGGACTGTATGACATTGGTTACTTGTCTATATTTATGTCATTTGATAAATGTTCTTTTTGATAATCAATTCTTACTAATAAATCACTGTTTTGCTGTTGTACTCTGTATGTCAGTCATTACTCTGTTATCCATCTGGCTCTGCATTTTGCTACAGAAAATAAATGACTATTATTTTTCATTGTAACAAAAAAGTCATGTTACCATATACAAAAAAAAAATCATATTGTAGCATCAAATGAAAAAAAAACACAAAATATGAATCATTTAATAAAAATGAATTATAGTATGTCGAAAATATGCAAAAAACAAAATGGTATAGTATGTCAAAAATATGTTTAAAACGACATATTTTGGTATGTATAAAATATGCAAAAACGGCATAGTATGGATACAATATTTTTTCAAAACAACATAGTCAGAAATGTCAAAAATACAAGATAGTAAAGTTTGTGAAAACCTTTTTAAAAAACTCATACTATAGTTAGTAAAAAGAGTTCCCGGTATGGTAACAGGATATATATTAGTATACTATATATATAGTAATATAGTTTAGTATGTCTAAAATACACCGGCCCTGGTTCGACTCCCGGACCCGACAATTCTAAGTTTTGCTAAATGTTCACCCCTCAGATTTTTTTAAAATAAAGCAATAATAATAAAATAAATAAAACATCAACCAATATATTGTAAGTGAAATGACCAGTCGCTCAGAAATACCTAGAAAAAAAATTGAGGGTATATTATTAAAGCCTCTTCGTATATAGTGCAGTATAATGCAAATCACTTTAACAGCACCGCAAACTGCAGCTTCTAAAATGACCACAAGGGGAAGTTAGAACCTATGTCTGGCTTTTGCTTACTGCATAATGGATATTCTCCACTACCTCCCAGCCAGAGACCTTCATTGAGAATAGGATAAAAGGGGGATGAATGCAACCGGTGCAGTAAAACGATTAAAGGTCACTTATTATGCAAAATCCACTTTTTCATGTCTCTTATATAAATGTGCCCCCTCTGTGGAAAGAGATTCTGAAAGTTTCAAGAACAAAGACCCCTTCAATTTTTGTCCTGATCCATTTCTATAAAAACCTGTCTGAAAATGCGCTGATCAGATTTTGGCCACTTTATGATGTAACGATTTTGTGGTTTGTGTAACCACTAGCCAATCAGCAACCAAGGTAACCCCCCCCCACCCCCCATTATCACCTGATCACCTGAATCTCCTCCTAGAGCACCATCGTGTTCTTTCTAACCAAATATCTCTCAGAGGGGCGTGGGGAGGGGCTCCTTATTTTCATCTAAAGTAACAGACAGAGAATCAGCACTTTGGAAACAGGGCTGAAACAGAGGGGATTATGGGATGCTGCAATGCACGATCTGTTTGGTATTTGGAGCCAAACACTTCAGAGACATGTTCGTATATATCTGAGGCCTATAATATATTGATGAAAAACAGTATAATAGGGGACCTTTAAAGTAGATTTTCGAAATCAAAGATACAAACTGAAGAAAACATTTGTTCTGTGTTGTATTGAGCTGGCGCTAAAGAAAACAGAGATTATCATAAATGAAGAGCTATCACACCTGTGAGCCTGTACGTACGTACACACACACACACACACACACACACACACACACACACACACACACACACACACACACACACACACACACACACACACACACACACACACACACACACACAGAGCAACATACCAATGGATGATTAATCCCACGTTATTGATGTGCCATAATGAGCTCTTTCAATCCTGCAGCCTCCCAGGGGAACGCAGACTTGCATCAGCTAATTAATGAGCAGGCAGAGGGGAATTTAGGTCAGAAGAAGGGGGAAGAGAACGTGAGGGGAATAAGTGGCACTAGCCTCGATCAATACATCACAGGCAAAAGAGTGGAGAGAGGACAAGACGAGATGTGAATGAGTCCAAGCACCCAGGATATTACAGTCTTTTGACAAGGTTGACAGTGAACAACAAGGTTGACAATGAACAAGCGGTGCCAAAGCGTTGGTGGACAAAGACCCCGCTCTGGACAGAATTACCGCTACAGGCATCAGGAGATTTGGAGAGCCGTTAATAGAAAAATTAGAGGGGGGAACTTTCTGCCCTCAAACAGACAGATAGTTTGATTTATAGAAGGTTGTATTTAACGGTCCAGAATCACATACTGTATACCTCTCTTTTCCCTCCCTCCCTCCCTGTTGCATCGCCCTCTCATACTTCTTCCCCTGTCTACAGGCGTTTGGGCAAATGGGGACAAAAAGGACTTAAACAGGTAAGTGGGTCACACCTTTGTTGCTGTAGTAAAAGGGCCTCTGGGATGAGAGGCTACAACAAGATGTGTCAACAAACAGAAAGGTCCCCGTGGAAAATGTATTAGCACCACTTACTGAATCAGCATTTCATCACATGATGATGATGATGATGATGATGATGATGATGATGATGATGATGATGATACAATATGAAACGTAGAAGATGGTGACACACAATGTATAAACTAAAAGAGCTAGTTCCAACAATCAACAAAAATAATTACTTAAGGTCTCCACTCGAGAATACTGTATACAATCATTATTGATCTCCATGAACACTTCTCAATATGATTTGCTGTCAGACATCTCGTGCAGAGACAGATGAACCATCAGGAGTAACACATACGACCATTATTCATGTGCTGGGTCACAATTACACGCACACATAAGACAACAAAAACAACTACACACACACTGCTGTTGTTCCTGAGTCGTTTTTTATATCAACATTTTGACCGACATTGAAATTGAACTAAAAAAGACGTTTTGAGGTAGAAACATTACCGGGATTAAGGGGTAGAAACGATGTGAGAGTATTATTTTGAGACGGATGCAGTCGTAACAAAATCACCTGGATTGGAGTTCACTGCCCTCGAGTTCAGAGCCTCGTTGCCCTGCAGCTAAGACTTGTGTTAACCTCTCACTCTCAGTATGTCTCTGCCATTCACAATGTGAGGCTCTTCGCTCCAGAGCAGAAGCAGCAGCAGCCATTCCAATATGCTCGCTTCCTAGCACTCGATAAATGTGACTTTCCAAACCGCAGCACCATGAGGTTAAACAGTGGTGTAGAACTAGAATGAGCACCAGTAATTAGCAACAGGTGAGGGATATATATGTACTATCTGCAAAAGAACACAGATAACCGGCATTAACACACTATGACACAAGGATGGAGCAAATAATAAGCATTAACTTCACATCATATATCCCCCCTTTTTTTACAAGGGTCCCCCCTTATAAAAAATATAAGCTTTTAATTTCAAACAGACACACAAACAATTATTGAGTTGGGTTGTTCATTAATTGATCCCATACTTTTAAATAAAGTTCACCATATAACTCACTTCAATTCAGTTTTTTTTTAAAAGCATTACCATAATAATTGTTGTGTTGTTTCCAAGGAAGAACTAGTCACCCTAGAATCTACAATGTAGGCGTTTATTTCCCCACTTTGTTTTTCTTAGCTAAATGGTTGTCGTTCAGTGTTGAAACATTCATTAGCTAACAATGACAAAATTACAATTTGAAATAGAAGATCTTTAATGTTCTATTAATATAAAGTGAGGTACAGTTACTAGTTACTCTATGAAACAGCTGGTAGTTATGGGTACTTTTTACTTAAGTACATTTCGAAGCCCATTCTTTTTTACTTTTACTTGAGTTAAGAAGTTTAGTCAGTACTTATACCAGAGTATTTTTAAACACGAGTATCTGTACTTCTACTTGAGTAAAGGACGTTTTTAGTTTTGCTATCTCTGCTGGTGATTTTATGTGAGTGGAAGTAATACCTGCTGGGGTTGGATCAAAAGGTGCAAAAAGTATGTTCAATTGTATTCTGTTATGACTTTAATTTACCTTAGTGTTTTTAATATCTGGCTGTCAAAAGGATACGAGTTAAAAGGCGCCATGACAATATGCCAAAGGAGACGGATCCAGATTCATCAAATGGCAAACATAAAAACAGAATAGGTCTACAGACATTCATACATCAGGGTGATGACGAGCAACTATTATTTCAATTTGTACTAAAACACGATCAACCTATTTGTCAATCAACAGAGAATTCCTTCAGAACAAGTTTGAGATTCAGCCATTTAACATTGAAATCTTAACCTTTTGCTGGTTTTGAAATGGGAGAATTTGCATATTTTCTACAGTTTATATTTTTGTAAATGTATTGTGTTTACCTCAAATCGTTTATAAATATTAGTAGGACAAGATTTAATTTCAAGACACCAGGCAACTTGCAATCTGGGGACTAGTGATGGGTTTTAACATTTTCTTTTTATAATTTGCATAGTAAATGTGTCAATAATGAAAAAGCTAATCATACTGATAACAATCTACAGACCTAGCTCCATTAAACATTCAAGCAAAAATCACCGTACATTTTAGACTTGATGCCGAAGCTGATAGGATTAAAGCTTGAGTCTTCAAGTTGCTCCACGACCTAAACACCAACTAGAGCTGATTTGTCTCAGAGATGCAAGCTCCATAGAGGACAAAGTCATTTTTCACAGAAACCTGTCCAATATCAGCTCCGCTAAATTAAGGTTGTCTGTTATCTCAAGATTTTTCCTTTTGTCCCGGTTTCAATCTGTCTCAGCATGAGTCAGTTGATCACTGCCTCGGGTCTGTACAGGATGGAGCGATAAGAACAAAATGAGATTGTCTGTTTTTCCGGTAGAGACACTATCAACATGTATCTGTGGCCTCCTGTTTTTATTTCACAGTGTGTGAGGACACAGATGTGATAATTCATACGTTACTCAACATAAAGCACATTGTACCTCTCAGTAACGGTAACATTCACAGTATATATAGAACCCTGTATGGGAAGCACTCTGAAATGCACTTAACTAATTAACAGTGCACCACCCAAACACCTTCACAACACTACAACACTCACTCAGTCAACTAGCACAGATAACCTGATTTGCAACAACAAAATACTGAAATGTGTAAATATGTAAGAGGAAATTAGTTAATATGCAACCAGGGAAACAGGGTGTCTCTGTTGTCAATTCTTTATTCAAATGTTCCTTCAG